TGTGTGTGTGTGTGTTGAATCTGATCCCATTTAAGTGCCTCATGTATTTTAGCATTGCATCTGTAATTTGCTGCCTCCACCTCCAGCCCTCTCCTCTCTGTAGCTGATTGGTTTTTAATGTTTCTGCTGGTCGATATCAGTAACTAGCAAACTCTGCAGTGGAACAGCGGAGAAACGCCGCTGTCCACCAGCCAATGGGAGAAAAGCAGCAACAAATCAGAAAGAAAAAATTGGCTGATGGGTTGCTGGCGGGGCTGGACTCTACACGTCTTGCTCACCGGTCGACCTCGCCTACTTGGACCGGCAGCTTCTGGTGTCTCGGTTTGCGTGTGGTGATGTGCATTGGTTAGACCACTGCACTGAACACACACTGCTCTTCCCTGCTGCTTCCTGTGGTGTCAGACCTTACTGCGAGCTCGTACCATGTACCGCTGGAAGCTGAATCTGTTCAGCGTTTTATGCTAGCAGAGCTTTAATTGGATAGTTTCATGTCAAACTCAGTTTTGACACACTAGACGTCCAAAACTACAGGAACTATCCAGCAAACTTTTTGACGCCCAAGAGAAAGTGATGCATTTGAATGTTGACAGGCACGTCAGTCAGGACCAGAAAAGCTGGGGCGCGACTCAGGCTTCAGAAAATAACAAACACTTAATAAAAAAAGTTTGAAAAGGACTGAATCATAATTACAAAACCTGCTGCGATGGTGAGTCATAGTTTGGGAAGCAGACAGGTTGGCTGTCAGAAGCCTGTTAGTTGTCTCCAGATCCGGAATGGCTAATCGGTAAAGATAAATTGGCTGGTTGTCGGGTCGTAAGGGTCGGTAAACAATCATTTTATAAACCAGCCGATATGATGTAGCTCACAGAAGCCCTACGAGTGGTCACCTGATCGATAATACTATTGTATTTGACCTTTGACTCCGATCCCATTCAGCCCTGCCCTGATTGACACACTGCAGTAAGAAGATGCGAGTAAGACATAAAGAAAGAGAAGATGGAGAATAGGGAGAGCAAATGGGAGCTGGAAAGGCAAACAAAGCTTTACAAGCTGACTCAGCTTGTTTATGATTAAAATGAGCTCTCGGCATTGGAGTGAGGAGACAGAACAAGTAGCAGAGGTCGATGGTGATGGTGAGACAGGAAGGTATGCTAGCTGAGGCTGCAGTGGCAAGACAAAATATATAACGTTACCTACAAGCCACAATTCAAGTTTAGTGTCAAGGAATTGTGTGGCTTCATGTGATAGAGCGTATACCATATGAATCCTTTGTTCAATGAAAAATGGTACATTGAGACCAAGCCTTCATGGAAGTCACAAAAACTGCAATTCCCAAAACCTGAAATATGTTTGACTTTGTCTGTAAATATCTTTCTGATATCACTTCTTCTGTGAATGAATTCCACCTTTTGTAAAAGTCTGTGTTCTCTCTGTGGTTTGGTGGAATATAATCATCTGCATTTATAAAGTGATTGACTTGTAAAAACCAATTTAGGGGAATGCTAAAATGCTCTTGATGTCTTTGCCCTCTGTCAGTGCCCTTTAGCCCCCACTGATATGGTGGATAAAGCAGACAGTTATAGAAGCTCTGGCTCTGACTTGGTATCCTTGTTTGAAAGTATACGAGTGGCATCACTTATTACTAAGAGCTCTTTAACAACGTGCTTCAATATTTCAAGGCTTTTACTTTGATACGTATTTAATAACAAAGAAATCTGTTAAGTCTGCCGCGAGGCTTCATCAGCCTGCCTTTGTAAATGATCAGCAAACTACTCATGTATATTAATCTTATCAGACACAGCTGAAAACTCATTTAGTGCGGGCACGTATTTAACTGACACCTTATTATTTCTCTCATTACGCAGCAGCGCTGTCGTTCATTTGTTTGCTGGGAGCCCGATATGTTTTCTGAGTCAGCTCTTGTGGGTGTTATTGGTGTCAGCAGCACAAATCTTCCTTTTATTTAAGTTGATTACTGAGATTGGTCCTTTTTCTGCTTCATTAACGTTGAAAGTGCCATGTAAATATAGTTGTTATTGTTTGCTGAGAAGGACCAAGAGGCAGTAAAAATGCTCGACTTTTTGCTTTGCAGGTATTCTTGTGTTTAGTGCCAACCTTGAATATGAAATAATGATTTAGTTCCTTTGATACGTGCTCTGTTTGGTCTAATAGTTCATTTATGGCCATTTATTAAGCACAGATCATAACCTTAGATTTTTCATATTTCAGAATATCGTCCTTGTGTAAAATTCAATAACCTTGTGACATTGTAAAACTTAGACAATCCATTCCTGCTTCTGCCTACAAAATGCATTTATTTATTTATTTTCCCTGGTTTGATGATGATCTTCAGCTCAGTAAAGTTTTCAGGGGTAAACAGACAGGTTTCCTTCCACCGCTGGGACTGTCACTCAAGAATGGCAACAGGATTGTACAAAACAGCAGAAAAACAAGCCGTAAAATATTCTCTGAAATATATTCTCATGTGCAGAGTTCCTGTGAAGTGAGCCAGTTTGCAGAAGATATTCACTCCCTCTGAAATTACCCAACAGAAACTGTGTGCCCGAATGGTGATAAAACGGCCATTTATTCAATCTCTTTGTCTCATTGAGACCTGAGAACACTTCCAGACTTAAAGGTCCACTCTGTAACATTGAGCTGGTCCTCTTCTGCGGAGTCCGCCGTGTGAAACCGCTATGTTTCTACAATAGCCCAGAATGGACAAACTAGATAAGGCCTTTTGTGTTTTCTGCATGTTTCGCCCACACCGTAGTTTCACCTTGAGAAGACTAATCCTGCACACTGGTCCTTTCTAACAGCTCTTTGCAGTTCATTCCACTTAAAAGTCACCGAGTGGCTGAGATCAGTGTGGACATATGGAATATCCAGGGTTAGGTCATTAATGGATGGTGCAGACTGTAATTATAGGTCTGACTCTGGGTTGTAATTCGGGGGGTGGAGAGTACCAGGCAACATCATCAATTATTCACAGATCTTTTATCTCTTTCTTTTCAGTTTGGTGTAGTAAACAGAGTTACTGGATTTTCTCTGGGGAAGAACACCTTCTGTTGCAATCAACACTATAGACTGGGAGCAGAATTAATTGGTTGTGTAATAAAGAGACTGTAAATGTGATTTACTAGAGCTCATCAGAGTTTCCAAAACAGAAATTAGTTCTAACAAACCAACTTCAGTCACTCATCCAAATGGTAAATAGTGTTTGAATGAAAGCTGCTGGACAAGAACTTCCTCTAAAAACAGGCAAATATTTGATAATTTATTAGGATAATAAAGAAAGAAAACTACATCTGACCAACAATGCGATGCCAGCTTTGGGAATTTGATCGACCGTTTTTACTTACAGGGACACATGATGTAATATAATATGATATGATATGATATGATATGATATACATCTCTGCATACAGATCCATAAACTTGTATACCACTGCATCTTTCTGGATACTGGATACTTTGTGTCCAGTGTCTCTCAATGTTAACGAAAGAGAATCATTTGTGTATTCGCCCTGTTTTACTAAAAAAGTTTTATCTCAAATTGATGCCATTTCCCCCAGCGTTTGAGGCTGTACATAAAGCCGAGGATGTTAGAACACATCCAGACATCATCCAGAGGCAAAGTGGTAGGTGGTGCTCTCTCTCTCTCTCTCTACCTCTCTCCTTCTCACTCCTCTCTCCTCTCTCTCTCCTCTCTCCCTCATCCTGCTCTCCTGTCTCGCTCTCCTTCACTGCGTCCCGTCGTTTGCTTCTGTATTAACAGTAACAGTGAACGATTGAGCATTTCATGAGGCTCACTAACCTAAATTTGACTCTTCTCTCCATTCTCCTCTAATGGTGCCCTCCTCTTTGGACACTGAAGTTGTAGAGTGCATTACAGCTAGGGTGTGTGTGTGTGTGTGGGTTTGTGCGTGCAGTAAGGGTCAGGATACTGACAGTGTGTGCGATGTTGGTCAGAGAGACAGACAGAAGGCCTGCAGTCCCACAAGACCTCATTATAGCTCTGAGGGGAAACACACACACACATGAACACACTT